CAGCTCTAATCCCAGCTCTTGGGAGGCTGTAAACAGGAGGATCACTACAAGTCCAATGTAGTAGTGAGACCCTGAACACCCTGGAGACCTTTCCCCAAAATAAAAAAAAAAAAAAAAAAAAAAAAAAAAACGGCCTAAAATTATAATGATAGCACTTCTCAGCCTCTTGGCTAAGTTCAAGTGTAGTATCTGTCCGATACGTCCTCTGTCCGAGGACACTATATTAAATGGACTTTTGGAGATGGACTAGGAGCTTGCTTCATCCACTCCATGCACTGACCTGGTACTGCAGTACCTCCAGGAACGGTGCACCCCTCGGGGAAATGAACAAACAAACAGAGATTATACTAATAGAGTTTTTCCTCTTGCTAACAGTATTCTGTTAATGAATATTAAATATTAATATTTTGACATGAATATTAAAACTTGTAGTGTCTGATACAAAACAAATGCTTTCTAAATGCTGTTAGACCCAGTTTTCCTTTTAAAATTAACTTATTTTAAAGCAGCAGTTTGAAGAGGCTGAAATTTTTTTTTTTTTTTTTTAATGTATTTGTTACAGGGTCTCACTGCACAGCTCAGAGCATAGTGATCCTCCTGTTTTGAGCCTCCCCACACTGGGATTACAAGTGTGCAGCACCACGCCTGGTCTTCGCTGGCTCAGCATGGGAGGGCAGGGCCAGGGCAGCCTGTGTGCAGGGGATCGAACCCCCCTCCTTGCACTTGTGTAAGCAGGCGCTTAGTCTGCTGAGCTATCTCACTGGCCCTCAAGTTTAGTCTTTATAATTTAATTTTTAGCTCACATTTCAACAGTCAATAATAAATGAAATATTGGAATTCCAGAATGTAAAGTTCATATAAACTATATCTAATTTAATATTCTGCTAATAAAGCCTTCTTGTCTTTTTGAGATGGATCTTAATATCAGTTGTTCTTTTTTGGTGGAACCAGGGATTGAACTCAGGTCCTTGCACTTGCCAGGCAAGTGCTTATTCTACTGAGCCATCTCCCTGGCCCAATATCAAAGATTGAAACCAGATCTTGTCAGGTTGAACGTCTCTAACCTAAGAAGTTCAGTATGTAAAGCTTTTTGAGTGCCAGTATAGTGCTTTTGGATGTTCAGATTTTAGAAAATTTCAGACTTTAGAATTAGGGGTAAAAATTAAAGTCACAAATAATTTCAATAGTTGAAAAATTCTTCAATTAGAAAAACTCAAACATTTTTTGGTGTTCAGCCTATACTTCCTAAAAAGCAGAACTTAATTAGTGAAGGAGTTTACAGTAGCTCATTATGCAGAGCAAGCTGGTGCTCCTTGAAGAGTGTGTTTTATGGGTTGCACCGATCACACAGCGCATTGAACTAGCCAAGCGTGCTATTCAGTGGAGTGGAGTCTGTCCTGGACTGGCTGCCTTCAGAAAATGCTGGGGTCACGAACTGGTTTTCAAAAAAGTTTTCTGAAACAAAATGCCATTGATTAATTAGATTTAAAACCAGTTTGTGTAGTTACTTAATACATAGTGTTTTCTAGGAATGGGAACTTTTTTATTGTCATTTAATGGATAAGGGTATAATATGTGCATGTTTGTTTTTATGTATTGCCATAAATATGTAAACACATAGTTTTGAGCATTTTTTTCTAAGCTCTTCTTCTTGTTGAGACAGGGTCTCGCTGTGTAGCCCAGGCTGGCCTTCAGTGCATGGCAGTCCTGCCTCAGCCTCCCAGGTACTCGCCTTGCAAGCGTGCGCCCCTGCACTTGGCTTCCCGTGCTCTTCTAATTTGGATTCCATTTACATTTTAGTGGATTCGAAGGGACTGCCATGCTAGCATTAATCTTGCTTAATGAAGGCTGCAGAGAGACCTTTTAAGGAAAGATCCTTTTGTTAATCAGGATCTTTTTGTTACTTCTATAAAACAGAAGTAAGCAAGAACCAGAATATCCTGTAGCTAGAATTAAGAATAGTTTGGAAAGTTTTGTTTATTTGTTTTGACACGTTGTTACCTACAGAAAAATTTTTTGTACATCTCATTTACTGTATTAACATGACAGAATTTTTAAAATGTTTTTATTTTTCAATCTCGATCTGGAATTTTTAAATGTATGCTTTATTCTGAGGCTATAAGGAGTGTCACAATGTAAGAATTACAAATTCCTTTGATAATATAGGAAAGCATTTAAAGATAAATTTTCTTTTCTTCCCTTTGTAGTCAATTGGTGTCAGTACTGGTTTGAATACTTTCCTAATCCTCCTATCAACATTCTTAGTATGATAGAAAATGTTCTGGCATTTCATGACAAGGAATTACTACAGCACTTTATAGATCATGATGTAACTTCCCAGGTAAGAGGTCGACGTTTTAGAATAATATAACTTATTTGGGGAGCTAACATTGATTCTGATACATTTAATAAAACAATGTTTTCATGAGGGGCATATATAGAACATGCTACCTTTGTATTTTAACAGTATTCCATCCTTCTCCATTAAACTGCCTTCCTGATACCTGTAGACAGGGTCCAAATTAAGTAGTTTTTTTCATAATTACGTATGTAGTGATTTTTATAGCTTAAATTGCATGTAAAAGAATATTATCAATGACTTGATTTAAACTTTCCTTAGAAAATTTTAAAAAAATAATAAATTTTCCTTATTTATTGTAGCTGTATGCATGGCCTCTTCTTGAAACTGTGTTCTCAGAGGTGCTAACAAGAGAGGAGTGGCTCAGGTTATTTGACAACGTTTTTTCCAACCATCCTTCCTTCCTTCTGATGACTGTGGTGGCCTACAACATGTGTTCCAGAGCACCTTTGCTCCACTGTGCCTTTAAGGACGATTTTGAGGTAAATGCTCTGTTGTCAAGATGCGTTTCCTCAAGTTTCAATGAAAGAATACATTTGTGCTTGAGAGCCTGTTGCAGTCAGGCTGGGCACTGCGCGGTAGGGATGTGACGGATAACGAGGTCAGTCACAGCCCTCCCTCACCTCGCAGTTGGAGCAAGCTGTTGAAGTCTTGGCCTCAGAAAAGTCGTGATAATCTTGGGGGTTTGTGCTTTGCTTTTCCTACATGAAGGACGTTGAAAGTGTTGGTAGTTGTTTCTTCTGTGTGTGACCTCTCGGAGCCCTTCTAGCCTGGGGCCATCTGGATGCTTGTTATTACACATGTATAGTGCTTAGCTGAGAGTTTGCAGCTTTGGCAAAAAGTGGCTGAAAGAGCTTTGAAGCTGGGGTTGTTTTTTGGGATTTTTTTTTTTTTTTCCTGTGCATTTGGTACAGGGTCTCACTGCAGCTTTGACTCATAGTGATCCTTCTGTTTTCAGCCTCCCCAGCACTGGGATTACAGGTGTGGGCCACCACACCAGTCTAGGTGGCCAGCTCAGTGTGCCTCAGGGCAGGTTGGTGCAGTATGTGGTGCCGTGGATCGAACCCTGCCTGGTCCCTGCACTTGCCTAAGCAGGCACTTAGTCCACTATCTCGCTGGCCCTGGAGCTGGTGTTGAAAGATTTTTTTCAATAGAAAGTTGAGGTTTCTGCATCAGTGTGTGACTTATTTTGCAATTCTTGTCAAATTAAGCTTTGTTTTCACTTTATGGTCAGGTGACAAATATGTATTTCCTAAATTTGGAGCCTGCCAGCAGAACAGGATAATGTGGAACTATGAAGTGTTTTTAGGCAATCAAACCAGTTTATCTTCTAGTTTATTTTGGATTTTGAATGTTTAAAACTCCCTACAGAAAACAATTGCTCGGCTGGTGAGATGGCTCAGTGGTCTAAAGCACCTACTTAGAACAAGCTTAGCTAAAGCCAAAGCACAGGGACCGCAGTTCAATCCCCCAGCACCACA